CCCTGCCCCTGCCCCTGCCCCTGCCCTGCCTCTGCCTCTGCCGAACCCAGCCTGCAACAGGGCCCAGTATCCCCTGCACAGAGACCTACCACGTGCCCTTTAGGACAGAAGCCTTAGCCACCGTGGACCCAAGAGCCAGAGAAACAGCCAGCGTGGACGGCGACGGCCCGGGAGCCACAGCTGCAGCTCAGCAGGCAGTCACCACGCGGAGCCCCAGCCGCCTAACGCAGACGTGGCCCTGTTCTTCCCAAGCCAGCCTCTGGAGTTTGCTTTCCAAGCTCAAGAACTCCAGGCCTTTCCCAGTTCCCTCTCCTTGCAGCTCCCACATCCAATGGTTACTAAATTCTGAAGCCTCCATTTTCCCATGGCCTCTCACCATCACCCACACCTCCCAAGAACACCACTCCTTCCTGGGCCGTCGCAGCAGCCCCCTTGCTGACCCCCTCTCTCCATTCACACCTCCCCCGGGAAGGCTGCTCTCCCGGAGATGCCCCCCATGGCTCCCTGCCTCACCCTCCAGAAGGAAGAGAGTGCCGGGCGTATTGGAACTGCACCAGTCCCTCACACCTGTTTCCCCTGAAGTCACTGGGAGGTGTTCATTGCTGCTTGTGACAAACACAAACAAAGGTGGTAAAACAATGTGAATTGGACGAGAGGTTTCTGTTTCTATTTGGATTGAGGTCAGTGTTATTTCCTTAACTTAGATCCAGAAAACAGAGCACTTGTTCAACTGCCGCGATGCCCCTGGCAGGCCAGGGTAGGTGCTTGTGTGGACATGTGGAGGTCCCAAGAACAAAAGAGCCGGGTGACTCGCTGGCAGCTGCTACCAGGGTATTTCTTAATGTTCCTTGTTGAACAAATAGCTTTGAGATGCCTGTGTCCCCATGTGTGGAGCGGCGGGTTGTGAGGTGGGTAGCTGCCTGCCTGCGGGGGGGGGACTAGTGTAACCACCCTGGGCTGCTCAAACATACAACATCTAGAAAGACTCGATCACACAAATGCTCCAGCTTTTTTAAATAGTGACAATTTAAGCATGAAGTTAGAAACCAGCCTTGGGAGAATTGCTTTCCATCTTTCTGGTTTCCTTTCCTAAGATGAGGCCTGGACAAGAGGAAACAAGACGGCCTTCAGTCCTCAGTAGCTGACAAGCAGTCATGTCCCTGGCTGCCCCCAAGCCCCACACGTGACACACTATCTGCTCACTGGGCTTAGAGACCCTTCACCAAAGCCTTGCTGCCCGGAGAGCCTCGTTAAGCACATGAAAGGGCATTTGGCCTTTCTCACCATCATGACCTGTCATCAGCTTTGCTCAGGCTGGCGCAGGACTTCGCAGTGTGGCCAGGGCCACCTCTCCGGTGCGCACCTGGACTTCTTGGCCTGGCCTGGCCTGGGCCTGGGCCTGGGCAAGGGCAACGGCACTGGGTGTCCAGGGCCCACTTGCAGGAATCCCCTGCAGTCTGAAGCTCTGTCCCTTCTTAGTAGGGAGGAAGGAAGAAAAGGGTCTGCTGAGACCTTTGTTACTCCCCTCCTATTGGTCACTGGAGTTAATTCACTAACATGCTGTTGTCATATCAGAGCTGAAGGCTCAGATTCTAATCGGATCCCTCTATAGGACTGTGACCATTTTATGTGGGTGTCCATTGGCTGCACCCACCCCAGCCCTTCAGAGGGGTTCACTTCGTTCCCCATCTTACCATGGCTTGGTTTCCCCTCAGACTTCGTACATTAACCATTAACCATAGTCAGCCTCCTGGACCACGGAGATCTTCCCTGTCACCCACTTACCCCACCTGAAGTGCTGGCATTGGACAGCGGCCTGGGAGGTATTGTGAGCATGTCATTCTCACAACAGTGTGAATTGATTTGTCAGATCAAGTTCTCTTGCCTGGCAGCTGCCTGAGATTAGGGAGTTGAAGGATGAGCGTTTCAATGGAAAATGATGGTTTTAGAGTTTGGGAAGCTGCTATGAAGGGAGCATGGTTTTTTTTTTAAGGTCAGTGGGTGGGTGCCTGCGAAGAGAGGTGTGAAACAAGAGGGAATGGAAAGGGGAAGTCTCATTTCACATAAACCCAATTTGACCTACTTAACACTTCTGCTTAGGCCCCACCTAACTGCAGGAGACAGGCTGATATTAACTTAAATTATGTAGAAGTGACGGAAATTGGACTGGTTTCGCTAAAAGAAGTGACAGAAGTGTTTTCCTGCTAGAAATTCTGTGCACAGTCCATTCTGCAGAGCACAAGGCCTTTTACTCACGAATGAGATTTCCAGTTAGCATGCAGACTTGAAGTCATGGAGACTCCAGTGCCTCCTCCCAAGGTCTAGATCCTTCTGTCCACTTCTAGTTCCCAGCACACCCCAAGCACTTTCTCAATGCTGTGCTTTTGTTTAGGGTGTTCCTGTTGCTAGGATGGCCTGTCTCTGGCTTCAACTCATCCTCTGAGGCCAGCTCAGTGGCATCCTTTCCCTTTAGCTTCTCCTGACACCATTCATTTGTTCATTCAACAAATATTTCCTGAGTGCGCCCCATGGGCCAGGCATTTTTCTGCATGGTGGGAGTTCAGTAGTAAAGAAAACAGATTCAATCCTTACCCTTCCAGAGCTTATAATCTGGTGGTCAGCACCCCTCTCCCCAAGACAGGAGTAATCACAGCACCCCCATGATCACATGCATCTACTCCAGCAGTTATCACGTAGTTGGTCTTACAGGGGATTGGCCTCTAGTCCTCCCAGTCTCCCCAGTGACAGACACCATGCCCCACTTCAGAGGCAGCCCCTGATTTCTTTAGAAAAGGAACTTGGGGAGTAGGAAGGGCAGAGGCTTGGGGTCTTCCATGCAAACTGCTCTTGCATAGCAAGTGGACTGTTTTCACTCAGCCTTATGGTTACGAAGGGGATCACTAAGGCAATTCAGAGAATTTGTCTTAAAGCTGTGTTAGCCTATCACTTAGAGAGTGTTTATTTGGGGTGGTTTGGGGGGTGATGGAGATGGGAGAGAACTGAAGTTCTCCCAAAGCAATTCCTTGGAAGCACCACCGTCTGGTACGTACTAGATGCCTAATACCTGTTGGTAGAACTGTTGCAAGGGCATGAAGGTGTAACGTGGACCCAGCTATCTGATCTCAAGGCTGGGCGCCATGTGGGTGTGAAGCACACCTGGGACTCCAGCGAGCTGCTGGGAGCTCAGGTTACGAGTTAGGGAGCTGGCGGAGGCATTTGGAAGGAGCTGCTCCTCTGCATAATTCACCGCTGGCTCCTCTGCGGAGGAGCAGTGGGTGTGAAACCCGCAGGGACAGCTGCCCCTGGAGGAAGCTAGCTGACATCCTGTCCATTGAAAAGAAAACTGAAAGTGCTTTTCTTCACAAGAAACTATTGTAAGTGTTTTCCTCTTTTTTCATTCCTCCCTTCCCCCCGCCCAGGGACAGTGGAGTTTCTCGGGCCCAGAGCTGTGGGGGAAATGGCAGGGGTGGGGGGTAGGGGGGTGGACGAAGAGGTATGAAGGAAATGTGGATTGTTCCCTGGCCTGTGCTCTTTGTCTAATCTGGGGAAGGTATCAGCCTGCAGAGCCCGCCCCAGGAGCCCTCTGCTATATGATATGTGTCCTGGTGATAGCAACCTCTCTTCTGGCTGTTAAAGTGCATTCCTGTGGAGCTGTGGAAAGAGAGAAAGCATGCTCGAGTCGGAGCTAGGACAGGAATGTGAGTATTTCCTTAATTGGACACGAGAGCCTTGAACCGGTTCCAGTTTTAGTGTTTTCTTTTAAGAGCCTGGACCCTAAAGATTCCATAGAGTTTTCGTTTTCTGAAAAATCCCTTTGGTTCAAAGGCCCCTTGAGAGAAATAAAGAAAAAGCCAGGGCTCAATCTCTTTGATATTTGGGAAGGCAAGAGTTCATGAGCTGCCAGATCCCAGGCTTCTTATGGGGGCGAGAGGGTTCTGGGTAGAAAGAAGGAGGCCCCTGCTGAGATGGCACATGGCTGGAGTACCCACAGGCTTTATATTGGGGCGCGGAGCCCCGCCCATAGGCAAAGCACTTTCCTCTGGAGCATTTATAGAAGCAATTTCTTTCGGCCTTATTAGCACCCCGAGAGCCAAAAAGAGACGTCTATTGCCTGCTTTATTGCTTTGAGAGTCTCAGACACAGAGGTCACGCAACTCGCCTGAGGACTTCAGCAAAGCCAGTGAGAGGCTGGAGGGTTTTGTGCGGTGGGTTTGGGTCGCTTTGTGGTGTGGACTGCTAGTTCCCTCACAGCCAGGATGGGACAGCATGCCCACACTCTCAGGCCGCGCCCCTTCCACGTGTCCGGACCCAGCTGGGAGCTTGCTGGGAGGCACCAAACACAGGAGGAACTTGGGAGGGGGGTGGTGAGGGGAGATGCTGGGATGCTGGGACCACAGCAGTGCCCACCAGGCAGAGCTTCACTATTTGCCCCTGTCTCCCCACAAAGCTGGAAACTTCAGTCAAGGGGCTCTGAGGGAAAATGGGGTGCTCTGTGGTTGAAGTGAGTGAAAAACTAAAGCAGATGTAATTAACTCTGCTGAACACCCTTTTTCTCCCCCAAACATCCTTAAAAACAAGCCATGGGTCTGCTCAGTGCTTTCCAACTCATCAAGTGTTTTCATAATATTATCTCATTTCAGCCTCACATCAACCCACACACATTCTTGCCTTGCAGATTTCTATGTACTCAAACAAGTTTTGCTGAAAAATTGGCTAGAAACTCCCCTCTTCTATTCACTTTTTTTTTTTTTTTTTTTTTTT